TTGTGTACTAACCACTACTTTTTCTGGTAATGAAACTGAATGCTTCCTCTGTTTGCACTCTACTACCCATTAAAGGATCTTTCTGTTTCTACTTTCATACTATTTCCACAAGGCAGTGCTGAATCAAGAAAGGGAACGGAAATTATCTTGCATATTCTACATCTCTGATGAAGTTTCATCTCATATTTGAGTGTTTTGGGTTTTTTTTCTCTTTTTTCTATAGGACGTGTTTTTAATTTGTTTCTCGCTGGTGAGCCCTGCCTCGTTCGAGAACGTCCGTGCCAAAGTAAGCAGCTTCCCTATCGAACCTGTGTGGCTAAAAAAGTAAAATTAAATGAAGTGTTAGACATGTGTAGAAGAACATCTGGATGGCAAGGAAAGAGGAAGAGCCTGATATAATGTGTCTGGTCTGGAGTATTGCGTAAAGCAGTTCCAGTATTTTGTTTGCTCAGAGTCTTGTGGCTGTAATGTAATATAATACATTACAGATGATCATAGACCTCAAAGGTGACTCATCACATCACCTGAGATGCAGTAATTGGGACTGGGTTTGTAGGTGAGTTATCATGGTGATGTGTTTGAGTAAGAGAATAAATGTAGAGCCACTGGATGAAACTGGATGATGTTAAATGTTGGTTCAACACAAGATGGATGTCAGATGGATTTAGTGCAGCATGGGTCAGTGGTTGCTCACACTTTTCCACAAACTTCCTTATAACATAATCTGACTTTGGAAAATATGGATCATCTTATTTATTTTTATATATGAAAACCATCCACCCAGTTACACTATGTGAAAATGTAAAATGTAGATTTAAATGTAGATTTTGTTTCACAGTAACAGCATTTCCTGTAAGAACCACACTAGAGTGACTGATAAGATTTATATTTGGCTACATTTGGTTAATAATTAACTTGTTACCAGAAATGAATGGATAAAAAAAGAATAATTCTTAAATCATACATTTTAAATTGAACGATGGACAGTTACACTTTATGCATCTGGTAGAAATTGTCTTTGTAATGCAGAATGGCTGCCTGTGGCATTTCAACCATTAGACACTCCCTGCATGTCTAGATGTAATCTCCTCTGGAGTTTCAGACAGGGCTGATGATCGTGTATAATCTATAACGGTGTTCTTATTTAAACCTGTACAGTATCAGGCTATCTCTGTGTTCTGCGTAAATGTGTTTAGTTGAATCTCACAAAGTGGATAATGCTTTGACAATGATGTCAAGTTTCGGAACCATGCAGAACCAAGCAGATTTGCTTATTTAAAAAAAATTATATATTTTATATATATACATACATATATATAATATAATATATATATATGTGTGAAGTCTGAGTGAGCTGTCTTTTCCTTCCTCCTTTCCCCACAGTGGTATCCTGAGGTCAGACATCACTGCCCCAACACCCCAATCATTCTTGTTGGGACCAAGATCGACTTAAGAGACGACAAGGACACTATTGAGAAGCTGAAAGAAAAGAAACTCACTCCCATTACTTACCCACAAGGCCTTGCTATGGCTAAAGAAATAGGTTAGTACTAGTAACTACTAATAATAAAGGCTGTTGGGTTTACAGTTTCACACACTAATAGTTTGCTCCAATTTGCACAATTATGAGATCTAGTTTACACTAATAGCTAGTTATTATTTAGTTAGTGTGTACTTGTAGCGTTGCACACTTGTGCATTGTTTGTACTTTGTTTTCTTGTGTGTGGCATCCACGTCTTAAGTTGCACCATCCCATGAACCATGCATTGGATGATGATAAAAACCTGCTTGACTTGGTGCATTTTGTGTATGCGTTTGCAGTATTCTGTATGTTTCTAATCTATGTACAGGTTCTGTGAAATATCTGGAATGCTCAGCTTTAACTCAGCGTGGCCTTAAGACAGTGTTCGACGAAGCCATCCGTGCAGTCCTGTGCCCACCACCGGTCAAAAAGCCAAACCTGAAGTGCCGTCTCCTCTCAAGAGGCCGTCCATAAAGTGCAGTCTGCACTCGCCTGAGGAGAGGTTTCAGGAA